CCGATTCTGAAAATCCTCTAATGCTGCTCGGCTAATAAAATATAGCCTGTGTTCAGCTGTGGTTTCACATCTGCAAATTATTTGACAGAAATGGGAGATGCTGAAGGACAGAGAGACTAAGATCTGCTAGTTGGTTGGATAGAAAACCTTTTCATCAGAACAGAGATCCAGTAAGTGTGGTGAGTTGAGAAAAGATTGGCACCATTGACATGAGTGGTGACAATGGAAAAATATTTAATATGTTTGCTCAAATGCTCAAAATCATCTGAGTTTAGGTTTGTTTAAACAGCAGAAACTTGTTCTTGAATTGGGTTTTATGGGTCGCACCCTTTGCCTTATTATTATGCAAGTGAAAATCTAAATGTAGTGTAAATAAGCAGCAATGTGCAGCCCTTTGTTCCCAGTGTGGAAACTAGTCAATACATGTATAATTATCATTTCTTTAAGTTAGGGAAGAAAACTAATAATCTAAGATATTGCTGTTTGTACCAAGAAAGGTGTTGATGTATATCCTGGAGCAAGGGCAGCATCCCCACCGGATGGTCCCAGAGAAGTTGGGGACACTTGGTCTAGTGCATGCCTATTTGATTAGACATAAATGTTTATGTTTATCTGTAGTGGGTCAAGTAAGAAAAGTAGGAGGATGACACCTTTTCCTCCCTTTACTACGCTATACCTTTATTATGTTATTAACTTGACCTTGACCTTGTTACAACATTTATTATGCTATTATATTATACTATGTTATACCTTTGGCGCTTTGTCACTGGCTTAGAAAAGAGTTGCTCTCAATCCTCTTGCTCAATTCAGAATAGTGTCCTGGTCACTCCGATATCGCTTCGTGTAATTGAAGTGATGTCGGAGCGACCAGGATGCTTTTCTGAACTTTCAATGAACTGCAAAAAAAGACGATGGTCTCAGCTCATGAAGCAGTTCAGATAACTCCTGCATTGAGTCACACCTCAGATTGTTCACAAAAGTGCAGGAACTCATGCGTAGTGCAAAATGTTTAATTATATTTTTGTGTTTTTAATAAAATTGCCCATGACTTTGAACTTTTAGGGGCGAAGATTTTTTTTTTAAGAGCAGAAGCAGAAATGTGAAGCGACAGTTCTGATGTGATATTAGGAAGCTTGTTGTGTTCAAAATGAGTGTTTATGTAATTATTTAATTTACATATCCAGTATAAGTTTTATTCATTCAAGGCAGTCAAATTTGTTCATAACTTTATTATTAGTAAGCCTAAGAGTTACCGGATCCAAGCAAACAGTTACCGGAACGCACCCTATCAAAATAAGAGAGTTCTCGGATCCTGTTCTGGCAGGATCCAGCTCAAATTAAGCCCTGGTTTTACTGTTACTACGTGTTAAAATCTCTTGTTAAAGCAGCGGCACCAGGTCAGTTTAAATGTTCTTGAGTAAATGTTTGAGTGAGACCTCAGAATGCCCTCTTGCAAAAATGATTGAGATTCAGTCAAGGCAAGATTATTTTTACAGTTACTGACAGATGGCTTTAGGTAAAGAGAGTGGTTCCTTTAATCCTGTAATTATCTAAAAAAAACAACTCAGGATTGCCAGATAGTAGACCCCAGATGTCTTAATATTTTCTAAAAGGGATCATAGTTTACTGATTTATTGATACTTTTATCAAGAGACTCACTTGTGGTAACTTTTGCCTTGAACTCCCCAAAGAAAAAAAATTGCAACTGACCAAGTACAAAAACAAAACAAAAGCAAAATCATTTAATTTGGCTGATTTAGTGGTGTGCCTTCTCACTGAATTCAACTTGTTAAATAATTAACTTTGTTTGCAAATGGGCAGCACGGTGGCGCAACTGGTAGAGCTGCTGCCTCTCAGCGAGCAGGTCCTTGGTTCAAACCCCGGTCCAGGGGCCTTTCTGGGTGGAGTTTGCATGTTCTCTCCGTGCATGCGTGGGTTTTCTCCGGGTACTCCAGTTTCCTCCCACAGACCAAAAACATGCATGTTAGGCTGATTGCTAACTCTAAATTGTCCCTAGGTGTGAGTGAGAGAGTGAATGATAGTTTGTCTCGTTTGTCTCTATGTGTCCCTGTGATGGACTGGAGACCTGTCCAGGGTATACCCCGCCTCTCGCACAGTGATTGCTGGACATGGGCACCAGCGACCCCCGTGACCCAAAATGGAATAAACGGGTAAAGATAATGGATGGATGTTTGCAAATCAAAGCTTGATGTGTGGACAGAGGTGCTTCTGTAGGAAAACTTGGCCTCTCAGAAAAAGCCTTAATCTGATGCCACTGGACAATTACTGCCAAGATGGTTGATTTTGGTCATTAGCTTTTGCAAATATAGAGAAATGTAGCATCAAAATGATCCCCAATGGTGATTAGAATAGAATAGAATAGAATAGAAACAGCCTTTATTGTAAATTAGATTATTGTATTATATTGCTAAAATTGCTCTTTATGGATGACTGAATTACCCGCCATTACAATGTGGGAGACGAGAAGCCCATCTGCATCTGAGGTAATTGCTGACAAAAATGCTGGGTGTTGGTTGGATAATTTTTGAAGCATCACTCAACCTTGAAGAGAATTATGGCCCATTTACTTTTTCTATAACTAATTCCAGCATGCATTTCTTTTTTCTAAAATTTTAGTTTACTTTCTTTCGTAATATTCAAAGCTAACTGCCAATGTCTTGATGTGTAAATTGTAAAAAGAAGCAAGATAAAGAAATGTTAAAGCTCCTCCCATTGTTAGGGTCACCATGATAACCACACATGTGCATCTTACTGTCTGGTTACACTCTTAAATAAATAAAGTGCTATGTGTTGTCATCGTTGTATGTTCCCATACAATGGTGAAACTGGTTCTCTTCATTTAACCTGGGTGGAGCAGTGGGCAGCTATGTAGGCGCCCGGGGAGCAATTAACAATTAGATGTCTTGCTCAGAGACACCACGACATGTGGGCATGGCTGGGGATTGAACCTGGGCCTTTCGGGTCCTGAGTCGGCTGCCGTGCCTCTACCTCATCTCGGCCCCAATAAGACAAGCAAAGTAACGGTCGCTGTGTAAAAACCATAGTTGGGAGAATCTGAACAGTAAGAGCCTGAGGGTCACACGTATGATTTCTATGTGCCCACAGTACATGGGCAATGGGCATTGGGCATAGGGTACAATGGACGTCAATGAGAATTTGAATGTGCGCACTCTACTTTAGGGGAGTTTGAGAGAAAACCATGAATCCTACATCAGACGAGCCACGCTGAGTAAAATGGTAAATGGACTGTACAGCACCTTTCTATCGTATCAAGACACTACAATCTGCTTTCAGATCTCTAGAAAGACTAATCAGTGCTTTAGATCACATTCATACACTGATGGGACACACATTGAATGCAATGAAGGGTTCAGTGTCTTGCCCAAAGACACTTCAGCATGTGACTGCTGGTGGAATTGAACCCCCAACTCTTGCATTGGAGGACAACTGCTCAAGCCACTCAGCCACAGCCGCCCAAGAGTACAAGAATGTTTCAAATATATGATAAAAGATGGACTGAGATAAACATCAACTTATAGGACGTATAAAGTTTGTGAACATTAGAAAACTGAGTTTGCTAAAATTTGGGATGTTTAGACAGCAAGTTTAGTACGTGAGTTCATAACCACAGACTTTATGAATGGTTAGTGTTTGACTTCATCAGGATCCAAAATGAAATTTCCAAAAGTCAAAAATCATCACATTTGAACTGAGATTGTGTAAATATCATAAAAAAATATCTAAAGGCCAGCTCAGTTAAATACTTTTCATACTCATGTTTCTGTGACACATGTAAATTTTAAAATGTTTATTTTGTAAAGGGAGACTAGCACTCCAAAGAGAGCTTAGTTTTTATAATCAGTTTGCCTAAAGTTTGTTGTGTATCACTGGATGTCTTTAGTGAACTCCTAACAAATGTTCAAGTATTATTTACTATCAAACTGCATGTTCTCCAGTATTTTGTTGTTACAGTTTTTCCAGCTGCAGGAGAAGACACTAATCTAAACTTTTTATAGAAATGAAAAAATAAAATAAAATAAAATAATGTCTGACCAATAAGAAAGCTGCTTCGGTGCTCATGTATCGTAACACTCCAAACGTATGTCAGTAAAGTCAAAAGCCAAATTGTTAAATGAGCAAGTGTTTCTCGTTATCATGTTACAAAAATCAGGATATGCTTTGTAGAAAGTAAATGCATCCAGAAAGTGTTTAAATTTCTCTGCTCCACATTGAAATACTTTTATCACTCATTGGACATAACGAGTTTCCCAAGGCGATTTGGAAACACTGGGACAAAGAGACACAGAGCTGTTCTAGCCGTGTTCTCCCAGACAAACCCCAGTGCACCGTGCAGTGTTTCCTGAAGGATGATACGTTAAACATTAGCATCATTCCTTCCTGCTTAGCCCCAAACCACCTGAACATGCGCGCTGACTCAAGAAGAAAGAGCACCGATGGTTGGGCTTCAGGTTTTCCTTTTCACTTTACAGTTTAGATGATGTTTTTTTTTTCTGCAAAACATTCAAAACTTGAAAAATAGTAAAACATGAAGGCTCATTGTCAGCAGGCACAGTGCACAGATGTATGCTTTATCCCCCCCCCCCCCCCCACCACCACCACCACACACACACACACACACCACCACACACACACCCGTTGTGTTTCTATTTTTAGAACTATCACACCATGAAAGTTTCCATTTCAAGCCCTTTTCCTCTTCTGTTGATGTGTGTGTATACACACACTTGTAATTGGCTGAACAACAGCAAGAAAATGCTGCCTGCTTCCAGAAGTGACTCAGTATCAGTGCAGTTTTAATGTGCTTCCTGAACTGAAACATTTTCAAACTGAATGGCTTAGGAATCTAATCTTTACACCATTTGTGTTGTCTTCATGGATGCATTCGAACACTGCTGTTAAATCCAGGCTTAGATTTAGCCTGTAATCATCTAATAGTCCTCTCTTTCTCTTTTTTACAGTGAATGAGATCATTCGAAAGGATCTGACAGGCGTTCAGGCCAGAGGGCAGACATAGACGGCAGACCCAAGCAGGAAATGACATCATGTCCCCTGACTTCATTACCCACTTTCTCAGGCTTCAGCCTTCTACTGAGGCGCCACACTCCCAGCAGCAAACAGACCTTACATCAAGCTTTTCTTCACCTGTAGACAGAAAAATCAGCTCCTGCCTGCTGCGTTTGCTTCAGTTTGTTCCTGATATTAAATTGGGCCAAAAGACAAGATCATTGGACCAAGAGTGTATGGCACCAGCACCAATATGTTCAACAAGTAGGATCACTCAGAAAAGTCAAGCACATGCACCTTCATTTAGTCTTTCCAAGTTCATGTTCAGAAACCAAAGTATAAAACAATGGGAGAACAATAACACCCGTAAAATAGCTTTATTCACGTGTTCAGGTGGTGAACCTGTTTGCCTTACATTAGCCAATGATCCTTCTGCAGCATGTCACCAAAAAGTCCAAACGGGTTAATGACATACCAAAATAAATAAGCACAACTATGATGTCATGGGTTATCTTGTGGTTGGGCATGTTCCAGTGCTTCTTGCACAAGTGTGTATTTGTCTGTGTGTAACTTTCTGTAAATTGTTCAAAGGTTTCTTGCTGATCATCTCATTCTCAGTGCAGGTTTGTAAATGAAGACAGACGCACAAAGCCTTAAACATCTGAAAATGAATTATGTCATACTGCCTTATATGCACCATTTTTAAAAAGTGGTGGTAGGGGAGGTGAGAGAAGAGACTTTTAATATAATATGTGATTCATGTGAATAGCATACTATTTTATACTTTTATTTAACCAAATTCAGGTGCCAAAGTTTCTCCACGGGGCCTGAGATACAGATTTACATTTCCCTGCACAAGTTCAGGCTCATTAGTTATGAATAGGGTGATAATTTAAAGTTGGACATTTTGTATTTTTATCACATTTTTATATCAGTAGTATTGATTGTAATAACATTAGTTTTTTCTCAAAGTCTGAAAAAACACGGAGAGCTTAAATTTTGTACTTTCTGTCTCTCTGCAGTGACAATCATTACTCTAAAAGCTGCCTATGCAAAGCTGTCGTGCCTGAAAATGTAAAAGGTGTTTTTATTGTTTTCTGAACTCACCAGCACGTCTTGTAGGCAGGGCAGAGCAACACGGACAGACTTCCTGCTGATAATGCAGCTTGGTTAGAGGAAGAAGCACTTGTTGTTTTTATGTATTTCTCAGAGGGTTTCAGTTTCTCAAAGTATCAGTGAGGTTACAGCAAACAAAAAAATATGATTACAAATTGGTAAAACACTCCAAAGTAGAACTGAAATTAGAATCACAATGTTTATTATTTCTCTAAATGATCATGTCAAATTAGAAAAGCTGTTATTTAATCTTTGAGTAGTTGTCATAGAGCCAGTAGAGCACAAGTACATTTGATATTTAGTGAATGTAATCTGTACAAAACAACCCCCCTTTCTGTAAATATTAGATACATTTTTAAGAAGTTTTCAAAGCCTGAAATAAAACATTTTTGTTGTCTCATTTCATTGATCTCATGTAATAGACACATCATTCCATAATCTGTTTGACTACAAAGGAAAATATTTTATTTTAGATAGAAACTATGATATATATTCATGGTAGGTTTTCCTATATGTGGTATTATTTTCATGTTTTATTAATGGATAGATTATTAATGATGTAATATTTTATTTGTGTTTCAATTTCCTTGTGCCTCTTTAAAAATCTCTCATTACGCTATTTTTGTATCTTCAAAAGAAGCAATAAATATTAACCATAGACATTGTGAATGGTCTTTTTGGGCTATTTTGTTATCCATCCATCCATCCATCCATCCATCCATCCATCATCTTCTCCCACTTCCTTTTTGGGTCACGGGGGTCACTTGTGCCCATGTCCAGCAGTCACTGTGCGAGAAGCAGGGGACACCCTGGACAGGTCTCCAGTCCATCATAGAGACACATAGAGACAAATGAGACAAACAAACATTCACTTTCTCACTCACACCTAGGAACAATTTAAATTTACCAATCAGTCCAACATGTATGTTTTTGGTCTGTGGGAGGAAACCGGAGTACATTTTTCTTGCATTTAAACACTAAATAACACATAGCTGTTGTGTGGACAGGAGTTACTGCTCAACGGTGCCCATTAAGATGAGTATTAGTAATACAGCAGACAGTGACTCATCAAAGTGCTCCCCTTCCTGTTCCGAGCCCCAAGCAGATGAACTCACTGGAGGCCCAACTTGTTTGTTTTTAATTTATGCAGCATGGTGATAATCAGATCTCTAATCTGTGAATGTTGTGTGCCGTTGATATGGACACACGTGATTATGGACAGAGCATGCACAGTTTCTCATCGTCCCTTGAGTGACAGACGACGAGCAGAGAACTTGTATGGCCAGAGGCGGTGGTTGCCATGGAAACGGCCTGTTTGGCGCTCTGCTCCGTATCAAGAAGAGGGATCTGTGAATGAACCTTATGTTCAGGAAGTCTCTGGTTATGACATCATTGTAAAAAGTAAAAAAGTGTGATGTAGGCGTCTCCAAGCTGCTCGTACAGATATGCACTGACGAGTCGTGTGGCCTTTAGCCCGTGCTGTGATGACATGGGAGCACACACAGATTCACTGTGTGGAATTGGACCGGATAGAACTACATGGTGACCCTGGTATTTCATTCATTATGCTCGCTTTTTAGTCACAAAAAAAAATAGACTTGTCACTAATACTTTCCTACCCAGTCTGGAATAATAAATCTGTTTTTTCTTTTTTGGAAAGCATCATAGTCAAGTATAGATAAATGGCACAACTCAGAACTTGGGTGAAATAAAAACAGTACTGTCTGTTTGCAGACACTTGAGAAAACTCCACGTTATTTTCTCAACAATGTGAGTCAGTTACTGGCTTCTGGTAGGGAAACACTTTCCTTTCCTGATGGAGCATCAACAATATTCTCAAAATGACTTTTTCTCAGTATACCAATCTGATATTTCATTTTAATCTGCTTCCATAATTTCCACAAAATATACGTCAAACATCTACTTCTCCAATAAATATTTTTCTAAATCACAAAGATTTCACTACACCACCTTCTGTTGGGAAACCAAATTCATTCATTCATTCAACCTTTATTTAGACAGGTAAATCCCATTGAGCCTCGAGGACTCATTTACAAGAGAGACCTGATTTCAACAAAGAATAATGATAACAATGGACAACAGCAACAACAATAAACAGTTATAAAAACTCATACAATTTTTTTTTTTTTTTTAACAAATAGGATGGCTAAAATAAGAAAATCAACATAAAAACAGCTAGATTCTAAGGCAAATGTAGAAAACTAAAAACAGGAACATGTCTGCATTGGTCCCTGCCAGGAGTCCAACAGATTCTAGAGATTCTAGAGAATTCTAGAGATTCTATTCTAAATAGAAAAGAAGAATGCAGTGTGATGATCATTCCACAGTTAAGATGGTTAGATTGATGAAACCCAATATGTGGAAATGGTTTGTACTAATTTATGCAGTCTGTTCCGACCCAGAATCAATGTGAGAAATGGAGGTCAAAGTTGTGGGTTCTGCTGAAGGCCTGCAGAGGGAGACAAACACATGAATATAAAAGAAAATGGTTCAGAAGCACCTCCCTGGAATATTCAGACTATTTATCAAGTAAACACAAACACTCACCCTGAGCAACTAGAAAACACTTTTCTACCACAAACCAGGCACATTTACTGTCTGTGGAACTGTCAACTGAACTGAATGAAGCCAAGTAACAAAAAGAAGAAGAAGAAGAAAAACTTCAACTAATGAAAAGCTGTCATTGATTTTGAATTTTGATTCAAATGAATGAATAAAAAATAAACATGTTTCAGCTTCCTCCACAGATGTTAAACAGGATTTTGGTCGGGGCTCAGAAGACCACGTCAGAATCGTCCAATGTTTAGTTCCGATTTGTTCTTGCATGTTTGTCAGTGTGTTCTGGGTCATTATTCTGCTGGAGAACATATTTAACTCCAGAATGCCTTGATAGTCGAGATTTACAGGTGCTGGTCATAAAATTAGAATATCACGAAAAAGTTGATTTGTTTCAGTAATTACATTCAAAAAGTGAAACTATATTCATTCATTACACACAGACTGATATATTTCAAATGTTTATTTCTTGTAATCTTCTTCTTTCGGCTGCTCCCTTCTTCAGGGGTCGCCACAGCGAACTAAGTCGCACGAAGACTTGGCAGTTATTTTTACGCCGGATGCCCTTCCTGACGCAACCACAGACCACTGAGCTACCACAGCCCTCTGTGTGGAGCAGAGAGCTGCTGTCTAGTGTAGTGAACCTGATCTGACCCTGATCTGACCCTGATGACCTCAAAT